CTTCTCTCCAGACCTGAACTACTTTCAAGTGCAGAGTTTTGGCTGCTTCCCTCTCCATGTAATGGCTTTGGTCCTGGGTAAGCGATATCTGTGTCGACATAAGAATGTAAAGTAGGAAGTTTGTTCAAGTTTGGATTATATGGCTTAAAGGTAGTGTCCTTTGAACTTTGGATGTCAGTTGGCACGAGTGTTCCAGGATCAGCCATCAGATCCACCAAAAACTCCCTGAAGACAAACTATAAATTAAATCTATGTAGAAAGGTAAACAGATCAAGTTGAGAAGTTGTAAAAATTCAAAGAAGACTGCTGCTCAACTTTAAGGACAAAAGAAATCTAATGCTATACTACACTCTAAATACATAGATGACAAAATCTCCTATGCTACTGCACATTATGAAGCTATTATGTGGCTAGAAGTTGTCATTAATCAGTCAAAACTTATAAGGTTTTAGAGATTGGTAAAAGTTTTGGAATAAAATCGAACTCACAGTGCAGAATAATATTTTTTTGTAGAATTTTTTTTTTTTTTTTTGCATGTACACCCCAGAATAATATAAGTGAAAACCCAACACATTATACAAAAAGTATCAACGATTTAACCGCAAAAACCTGCAAAAAGCATAAGCCACTACCTGTCATCCTCCAACTTTATTACATTAACTGCACCGTCCTCAGCACCAGTGTAATGAACTCCCTTAAGCAGTCTACAGGGCATCTCGATATTGTCAGCTAGTACCTACATCCGAGGATACAGATAAATATACAAGATGTAGCCTCAACTTTTATTACTATTTACTAGAAATTTGTAATGGTAAGATCATTAATTAAGCCCGATACAGTTTCTCCTTATATTTAAATGCAAAAAATAATTGCTTAATGTCATAACGAAGAGAAATACTGATAAAAGCAAAAAAACTTGTGTTATGTCAGCAAACCAAAAAGCTTCCAGTGGTCACTAACAATTTAAATTAGAAGACCCATTCATAGCATGGCTAATGTATTAAATCCAAAACACAAAATTTTAAGAGAAGTTGGTTACATACATCTGAGGTGAGATGAATATTCAAATTACAGAAGCTATACTTATATATTTTCTGGAAGGACAAAACAAACATCACTCTTTTAATATGAAGAGTACTGAAAATAACAAAGCCTCCATAATATAGAACACAGCTAGCTATATCAATCGCAGAAATAGTATTGCCTAAAAGTCCTAATAACTGATGATAATCCGAAAGCTAACCTTGAAAAGCAAAGCCCGATGTCGGGAGAGACCAATAGTAATGGATCCAATAGGCAGTACACTAGTTTGCATTGATGTCCTCAATTCTGTGCTTCTTTCCATCCATCTCGCTAATACAACATTTGCATCCTTTACAGGCCCACCCATACGTTCGCTAACGAGTTCAGCAAGCCTCTGAACTAAAACACCAACATTGGTGACAGGACAATCTAAAGCAATACACTGTGCAATTTGCACCAACTCTTCCAAGACAGGATCAACTTTTCGATTTACTACTGAAACTTCAAATCCAGAACTCCCAAGGTTTGCTTCAAGATTTGTGAGAGATGGCATTTTTCCTTGAATTGCTGAATCTGGGGAAAGTCCATATACATCATAAAATCCATCAACCACTTTCTCCTCATAGTCTAGCGCATTGAACTCCTGGTATGAACAAAAGAATCCAATCCAAATCAAGGTGAGTAAAAAAGTAAAGTAACGTCTCTTGATAGTAGTATGTACAAGCAAAAAAAATAAAGAAGGTGTGTATTTGTTCTAATTCAATATATGAAGGTTCATGAAAGATACTACATAACATTTTTTCCCTGATCGACAAAATCTACTCCCAACCACTAATGGAGGATTTTCCTATTTGACACTGAATAAGTGAGAATGCAAGAGTAGGCTAAAAAAACTGAGCTCAGCTACACTTCCGCGACACCTTAAACTACTCTGCATTCCAACTTGTATCCAAATTTTAGCAGTGAGTGTATTCCAAAGTTTTAAACTTATCAAAAGAAAATTCACAGGTCATTTCGAAAACTATTAAAACTCCAGAAATTATAGACCATATGTTCATACAGCGGGGAATTCACTACTACGCTACTAGCAGGATTCTGATAGTTCTCAAAAGACCAGATCTTTCCCTTACTTAAAAATGAACTAAGCAAATTCCGTACAATCAACCTTACTACGACAACAGTCAAACTTAATTAACAGTAAAATCTTTGCTAATCCCAAATCAAACGCATGTTTTAACACAATTAACAATCAATTCATGCTCCTACACTACAATTACTACCAATTTAAGCTCATACACCAAAATTGACTACAAAAATGACTGAATTCGAACATAAAAACTTCACCAAACTCACCCAATAGTGCCGCGACAAAGTCTCCGCCGCCGCCTCAACCTTATCTCTCGAAGACTCGATCCGATTGCGGCCCAAGCTCAGCAGCATCGCCGCCCGGATCTGATCCTTCTCCGGATCATCCCGATAGTCCGAATTCGAAGCGCTGATCGCTAAAGCAAGCTGGACTTGAAACTCCTCTTCCGACATCATATAGTCCGGTCGGTTCACAGTCATCGTCGACTCCACAGAGCCACCTCCCCCAGCCGGCAAGGTCCCCGCCGGCGTCGGCGAAGACGACGAAGGACTCGCCGGAGCGTTCCCTGACGTCTGATCGGACACCGTATGGTGATCGGAACCGAGCGAGGGCGAGGCCACGGTGGACGGGGAAGCCGCCGCGGCCTCGTTCGATCGGGTCGGGTCGTGGTTGCTTCCTATGTGAAGCTTCTTGAAAATGTGCTTCATCGCCTTATCTCGCTTCCGCTCTCTTCTTTCTTTCTCTACTTTCTCCGCCAGCTTGAAAATTTCTGGGAATTCCTCTCACTTTCTCGGTCGATTTTTTCCGTCGGGTTTTCCGGTGGAAGGCGGGCGTTCTCAGCGGAGGGAAAACTTAGCGCTGTGGGTATATTGCGTTGGCCGGTTACCTAGCGGACGCGGTCTTTGTGGAAAATACCGGATTGACCCGCGGGGATTGGTAAACGATTCAATGTGAGTTGGGCACGGTGACGGCGGTGGCATTTCTGTCAAATGACTTATGATCTACGCGGCGTTGACGTCCACGTCACAGAGACGGAGAAAGGTGCTTTATGAGTATTTTATTTAGAAAAGAGTAATGTTTTTTTTTTTTTAATTATCCAACCATAGATTTTGTTAGATTAATTACTGATGAGATTTTGAACTCACACCGTCATGCAAAAGTCCAACACATTTCTACTACTTATGATCTACGCGGCGTTGACGTCCACGTCACAGAGACGGAGAGAGGTGCTTTATGAGTATTTTATTTAGAAAAGAGTAATGTTTTTTTTTTTTAATTATCGAACGATAGATTTTGTTAGATTAATTACTGATGAGATTTTGAACTCACGCCGTCATGCAAAAGTCCAACACATTTCTACTACTGTAGTAAGAGGTAAATGGTCACTTGCAAAAAAGAGTAATGTTAGAGATATCATATATTTAATTAATAACTTAATTTTTAATAACTACGTCACATTTTTTCATACCATATTTGAGATTTAGATCCTCTCCATATCCCCTCATTGGGATTCGGGATCAATAAATAGTAACCGTTCATCAAAGATCGTGTGGTCACAATTAAATGCTTTTTATATTTTTTAAAGTAAAGTAACCTCGTTTTGCTTGAAAAATAAAATAAAATATAAAATTTGTGGCCACACGATTTTTGATGAATTGTTACTATGCATTGATCTCCGGGATCCCAAGTGAAGGGATCCAGACAGGATTTAAATCCTCATATTTGTACCATTTCAATAAAACTCACGTGTGTTCGTGGGGTAGGTACAAATATGATATAAAAATATTATAAGTGTAATTTAGTACAAATTTGGTCTTTTTAACGAATGAGGATCCTCTCCGGACTCCCTTTATGAGAATCTTGAGGATGCTCTAATCACGTATGTTCATCGTACATCATGCAGTCAGTTATTATTGCAAATTTTTTATTTAAAATTAAATATAAAAAGTACTTGACGAAAAATGATCGCACAATGGGTGCTCGTGGCGGAGATCGTCCTCTCAAATTTGTTGAAGTTATCAGTGAGATGAGTGAGTGAGAGAGAAGGAGAGGAGAGAGGACAGGGACAGAGAAATATAAGAGAGAGGAAGCCGAGGGATGACTAATTTTTTATTTTTTGGATAAGGATGATTCTAATGTTAAAACTATAAATCCTCACTTTTTCTGTTTTGAGGAAGCAAGTGGCGTCGTTGCATGGAGTGAACGTGCAGACGACGTGCTCTCCGCCGTTGTATCCGCCGATCTGGTCGAGGCTTCCATCAAGGAGGACGGAGCCACCAAAGGAGTTTGAACTTACACCGTCATGCAAGGGCTCAACATATTTCCACTAATGTGGTAAGTGTTGACTGCCGTGCAGTCTACTTTGAGGACGGTGTCACTGGGGTCGCGGCAGCATTGGCTGCTGGGAAGGGAGATGATGCAGCAGGGGCCGTGGTCAGTGCGGTCGGACATGATGACTTTGTTGGTACGTAGGAGTTGCATGTGCATGGCGGAGATGCCGACGGAGGAGTGGAGGTGCCATTGGAGAAGGAGGGTGGTTATCTTTGAGAGGGCTGGTGAAGTTCGCATCTAAAACGGTGGATGCATTCAAAGAGTTGGAAGTGGAGCTCAAGAAGTATGATTACTTACTAGCTATAGGCACCAAACTTTCCAAGCTCAAATTGCGCGCTCTCTCATATTTTCCCTGTCATCGGAGAAAAACTTGTGTCCGATTGGTTCGTTTACGGCTTCAAAGTGAACCGGATGGGACAACGGATAGAGAGACGATAGAAAAGGCAAACAAATTGGCTCTCTATCTTGTATGTGTGACCGCACAACCACGTGGTCTGACAAACAAACTCTAAAATTTGCATCGACAAAGTGATTCTCCAAACTAGTGCTCTTCTTCGGATTATCGGGTTTAACATATCAATATATAATAACCAAGAACAACTCCTAAATTAATTGGTAATTCCAATATAATTACGTAGTTGCGCTACAAGTTCTCAGAGAGAGTAGAGAGTAAACAGGCGAAAATTCAACTAACCAACCCGCTATCCACATGATCAAACAAAATAGCATTTAAGAAACTTCTACTTGATGGAGAGATGCAAAATTTCTAGTGAAACATAATTTGGGGTTCAGCCTAATTCCTTTTACCCCGATTACGTCTTGGTCCAACTACTTCCCATCCATCTTCTGCTTTAGCTGCTGGCTTGGGAGTTGGTTTACTGCTCGTCGCGTCTGCTGGATTCAAATTTGGCTGGGACTCTGGTGTGTCCACCATCATGCTAGATGAACCATCATTTTCCTCGTTGTCATTGTCGTCGTCGTCATCATCATCTTCATTGTCCTGAGATGAGTAAGGAAGCAAACAAAAAGAACTGTAAGCAAATAATCCTACATGTGACTTTCGAGCATGTATATGACCAGGAAAGGCTCTCCAGCGTGGATTGTTTCCATGATTCCAATGTCCGAAAGGAGTAATCCCAAATAGAATAGAGCTCCACAAGTTGAACATCCAAAGAAAATGCATACGCAAAACAGTGGTGTGATTTGAATTCTTTACAAGAATAATTGACAACTTAAAATTCATCATCAAGTATGTTCAATACGAGATGATACATCATAACATCGTGCTACCTTCACACAAGTTGCAAAATAACAATTCCAATTAGAGGCCCTCTGTTGTTAAAGACGAAGGGGTAGCACGAGAGAGTAATACTCGTGGATGGGAGGCTCCTCATCTCTTATCAGGAGCCGGGATCATCAACTTATAAGCACAATTTCCAGCATCATTCTTGATACTTACATGATTCGCCAACATCCATTTCAGATCAAATTAACAACAATTAAAGTTTTCTTCAAATAGACTCATGAATAATTGACTACTTATAACACTCTGGTGGTAATAATATGTGCATTATGTTACCAAATCACACACTCTTTTCCCAAGGGCGTTGATTAAAACTCACTTGTCTAACATGAGGAACGGCAACTCTTCGATGATTGGCTTCTCTCAGACTTTCAACGGAATTGAAATTGCCAGTCAAACAGTCTTCATACATAAACATTAACTTTTCAGCCACCTGTACAAGTCCAAAGAACAAGAAAAGGATTACAAACATCATCAAGACAGAAAACCAATACTGATAAACAGCATCTGAGATATCCAAAGCTAGCCGAATTCCAGCCAAAATATGCAGGAATATCCATAAACGATAAGGTAATCAAAGGAAAACTGCAGGATTCCGCTAAACTAAGTTGGCTAGGGGAATGTGCTGCCCCTGTCCACCCGGGTTCGAATCACCATCCATCCCCGTAGGTATATAGTTCAATTAAAATTACGGCAATGGGCTACCCTCTGCACCTAAGTTCGAATCCCCTCATCATAGTGTAGTTTATTAAAATAAAAATATCGCTCGAATCAAAAAACAAAATCCAAGGAAAATTGAAGGGTACTTATCAATTGAAGAGCATATATACCTCCTCAATGCTGCCATCCTCTGTCATTGTATTGAGAGAAATCATAGCTTCATTGAGAATATCTTCCAAATCATCAATGTACAGAATCTCTGAGCATAATCAATCAACGCATACACAAAAGCACCATCAGAAACAAAAAATGGATTCTTTAAAGCAATCAGAATGAACCCAGTGACATTTAAGGCTTGTCTGGCAATGCTTATTTAAAAAGCACTTCTGCTCATACACGCTTCTATTAAAAGCACATAAATTTTTTCAATAAAAATGAAGTGCATTTTTTAACCCTGAAGTACACTTTTTTCTGCCAAGCATGGTTAAAAGCACTTTCGGTGATCTGAGAGCGCTTATTTTGAAGGCACTCCCAAAGATACCCAGAGGTGAGGTGAGTGAGTTGATTTGAGTACCTGCAGACTGAGTGAACCACGAGAAGGCATCGGCGGCGAGTTGCTCGGCTTTTTGGCGCGAGCCACGGCCGCCCCACTCGTTGTCGACGGCCAACTGGAGCGCCGACCACCGGGACAGAACCAGACCGATGCCTTCTCTGAATATCGCCTCCGCATCTGCCGACAGCTTTCTCTCAGCTTCCATCTTTCAGCCTATCTCCGCCTCTCTATCAGAGAATCTAGAGAGAGAATCTAGAGAGAGATTGAAACCCTAGAGAGAACAGAATTCGATTGTCAGCTGAAATGCTCAGTTGGTTCACAGCCAAAGGAAGTGGGCTCTGACTGAATGAATGGGAGCCACCGGAGAAGGAAGAAGAAAGGGCGAAGGTTAGATCAATATGGGCCTGGGCCTGTTATTGGAACTATGTTTAATAATAGTGGGCCGATGGGTTTAATTTTATGGGTTTGTTTGATGTACACATGTCCGGTGAGCCCAAAGTCTAATTTCAAGTTATGTTGAAGATAAAAGTGAATCTTTTATTATTATTTTTTTTTTTAACGAGGGGATTAGAATGAAATTAGACATTGAAACTTATTTTTTCTAATCCTACTATAAGACTCAAGTCATTCTCACGAAAAGGCAAGCCTCTTATATCTGAAATTTGGATCTCCTTCGGACTTTAGTGTTTGAAGTCTAAAGATTAGAAAATCTGAACTATTAGCTTGTACGAAGGACCGTTAATTTGTGTGAAGTGAACCTACTGAATGAGTTAATGTGATCGTCATATTCAATTTACGCGATTTAGATTGTCTGAGCGTTAGACTTCAAGCAATGAGAATCGAAAAGTTATATTTGGATACCATTCTACTTGATATAAGTCCAATATGTATTACACAACTTACAGATCGTATAAAAACGTTTTACCGTCCACGTAATTAGGTTGTCCTAAAACAAAATTTCTCCGCCCATGTCCTAAACAGCTCAAGGTAGTTCGTACTTGGAAAGAGTCATCATCTCTTCTTCTCAATGCCATTTGTCTCCACCTTAACATACATAAGCACTTCGAAACCAACAAATTTCACCTAAGAACTCGCCAAGTACTCCCGAACACTCTCGTGCTGTCCACCCAGAATCCCGCCACGTTCCACCTCCGTAGCATCTACGTGTCCGAATGTTGAATCTCTCCCCATGCACGTACGCCATAAGCCCCCCTCCCCCTTCTTCTCCATGCTTTTCTCTACCCTCTTACCCAAATATCAAATATTTCACAAAAAAATAAAATTAAAAAACATAATTTTGATCTGAAAAATGAGCCAAGAACAGTCTCGGAGGCCTCAAGATCAGAAGGAGGCAGTGAAATATGGGGACGTGTTTCCCGGCGTTCAAGGAGCCGAGCTGGCGGAGAAGGTGGTGACGCCCAAGGACGCTGCCATTATGCAGGCGGCGGAAAATGCTGTGCTGGGGCATACCCTCAAGGGTGGTGCTGCCTCATTCATGCAGTCTGCCGCCACGGAGAATGAGAAGGCGGGTGTTGTGGGTTCAAGTGACGTGAATGCGGATGTTGTGGGAGACGGGGTTAGCGTTAAGGAGGCTGATCTTCCGGGACGCCGTATAATATCAGAGTCGATCGGTGGACAGGTTCAATATATTTCTAGCATATAAAATGTTTATTACATGCACACAATATTTGAGTTCTAGCTATCACTTGTTAGTTTTACATATATTTTTTCAAAATTTTATTTGAATTTGATGTGTTCTTCTTTTATTCTATTCCTTGTTGATTGGTTCTAGGGTCCGAATTCAAATCAAAGGAAAGTAGATCATGAAAAGCAAAGGAATAAAATTCTAGAAAAATATTGTCAAAATCCTTATGTTTGTGAGTGTATTGATTTATTTTTCATTTTGTTTTGGTTGCACTTGGAGAAATGAATATATAAACACGCATATGAGTTCATGTTTGTTCTCTGTGAATGGTAGGCTGTGGGGCAATACAGCCAGCGAGCTCCTTTGGCAGCACCAAACACTATTCAACCAGTCGGTGGCTCTGCCGGTCAAATCACCATTGGTGAGGCCCTCGAGGCCACGGCTATGACAGCCGGACAGAAGCCGGTGGAGTATAGCGATGCAGCCGCAATTCAGGCGGCAGAGGTTAGAGCAACCGGCCGTACCAACATAGTACCCGGTGGTGTGGCAGCAGCCGCTCAGTCGGCCGCAACCCTCAATGCTCGGGCTACAAAGGACGAGGAGAAGACTAAACTGGCCGACATTCTTGCGGTATAAGGTTAACTACAGCAAATTCAATAATAATTTGATCACGTTGTTTCCAAAAGTACGTACGTGTGACATATGACATATTGTGTCTGTGTGATTGTAGGATGCATCTTCAAAGTTACCGGCAGACAAACCGGCGACACGTCGAGATGCTGAGGGAGTGACGGGAGCGGAAATGCGAAACGATCCATTCCTGACTACGCACCCGACTGGAGTGGCGGCTTCGGTGGCGGCAGCTGCTAGGCTGAACGAGAATAACAGCAACGAAAGGCTAAAATAGTTTGCATATGTGAATCTGGAAGTATCATCAGATACGTATATCAGTATATGCAGGTTGCCCGGGTTGTGTTGTCACTTACAGTAGCCGCCATAGCCGTGTTTTTCGAGTCTGAAAACGTTTGTTATCTTCCAAACAGATGTCCTCTTCCGTTGGGGGGTATGAATGTGGTGAATAAAGGACCCAGAGTATGTACCAATATTAATGTACGAGAGTTTGTATTTGTAGCTTACTTTTGCACTCGAGTTCTCGAGTTTGATTCTTCCTGGACGCCACTTGTTTAAAAATAAAATGGAAAGAAGAAGATATTTGAAAGTGGATCGACTGAGGTATATATGAAGAAGTGGAACTTGGTGACAAGTGAGAAGAAGAACAAGTCTTTGCCGATCACCCTTTCACTCACTCTTCCACTTATTTGTGTTTAGGAACGCACATAATTTTTTAGTAAAAATGCAAGGAATACTGAAAAGGCAGTTTAAGCTCTTTATATAAGCACAGAACTCTTGTTTTTTTCGCAGGAAGTAGTTTACGTGCTTTTGAAATGCAAATTCTTTTTTTTTAAAGCGCTTTTAGTCATTTTAAAAGCACTTTCAAACGTGTTATAAAAATTGAATCTAGAGGGATCTGGTTCCTTCCCTCTCCCATTTTCTGTTTAAGCAAGCACACTTTCTATAAACCTGTTAAGTAGAAATATCATGAACCTATAAACTTTAAATCCATATTAATTTGAAAGCACACTTGCACAAAGAATTGGAAGTTTGATTCCTATAAATTTCTCACCTAAGGTACCTGTTTTGTTTACACAACAAAATCGACACAATGTACAAACTTTACACGAACCCAAAAGCTGGAGGATGAAACAATTCCTCACGAAACCACCTGTAAAAATAATTCAAACAAAAATTCAAACTTTTGATCGTGGAGGCGAGCTCAGGACTATGGTGTCCTTGGAACAAATTCTTCCGGATTTTGCCCGTTTATGGAAGCTCGGTCAAGACCCAATTCTTTGGAGATCAGTCTGAATAAGACTTGCACTGACCCTCTTATTCTTGCTTCTCTGTTCAACAAAAGGATAAAGAACAACGAGTGAGCGGTGAGCGCACCGATCTACGGTACCATAGAATACGAAGAATTCTATGTATTTATATGGTTACGTATTGTATCTCAACGATGTATACCAATATGACTCTCACCTTGATACTACGAGCTCGGAAAATGAGGGAAATAGCACAAGCAGATGCGGGCGTATGTCGTGATTCTTTTCGTTTTCTAGGGCACTTTTCAAATGTGCCTTCAAGGGAAGAACGGATGCAGTATCTGAATGAATTATCAGCCGCGCCAACTCTTCAAGAACGTAAATAATTTCTTCAAGTCTTGCAGCCGGCAATGGGCGTCCACCTGCAGGTATGCAAAGACATGATAATGCAAGATATTATCTTTCTAGTTTTTTTTTAACAAGTGATAGTATAGGATGATACGGCTAAGGTGGGTATATCAGAGTCAAGACGCACCTAAGTCGTTCTCGTCAATTAGAAATCTGCTCAAGATGTATTCGCATCTGGTTATCAGTACCATGACTGCAATTTTGCTCACTTCGGATCTCGCTGAATTCCAATCATGGGATTTGTTGTCGTAACTGCGTGCATAATATACTGTGAGACTATATTCTATCAAATGTAAAGTGGACGCAAAACGGGTTTAGACATTATTAACATTATGTTCCCACCGTCTTGGATAAACTAGAACGGGAAGTAAAATAGTAATAGCTTCTGTAAATCAATACTCACACATTAGGACATTACCTGCTCAAGGAGAATAGCTTCTGTAAACATTTCAAGGAAAATCTGCTGCAGTGGGAAGGCATAAGTTCCACAAAATCGACAGGTAAGGAACAAGTACGTGATGCGCATCGGTCCAAGGTGGAAACTAGACGATGCAAAATCTGTCAAAATAAGAGATTTTATATCTTAAAAACAAATAAAATAGAAGTTGACAAGAAAAGCTTCTAAGCTATCTCCGTTTCACACGGCCCCAGATTAGTGGTCCAAGACCAAACATGTAAATGTTAGACTTCCTCCTTTTACAATTTACTCTCAGGATAATGGCTGGTGAGAAACTTACATCGGAAGGTGCATCGATAGGTGACTTTAGAATCCTGTCTCCGAGTACGTCTAAGACGATCATCTCAAGGGACTCATCAGCTTTTACATCCACAGTTGAGAAAGAATCATCAGAGGGAAGAGCTCGTCCACAGTAACCCACAAGGAATACTTCATAAACATCGGCAACTTCCTTCCATATACGTGTTCTTGCAGGCTTACTAGCACCTGAATCTAGTCCAGAATTTATAGCCGATTTGCTGGCATCATCAACCAGAATACGGTTGAAGCCTTCAACAGCTAATCTCCAAACAGCACCATCTGGATTGTCTCTTCTTGTAGTCATACACCTAACAAGAAAGACTATGCTGTTATTTCCTAGTTAAAAAGAGTATAAACCTTCTAAACTGAAAAGAAGAGAGTTTAATCGTAAAACAAACAAAATTGGCAATTGCAGATACAATAAGGATGAAGGGTTACAGAACTTCTAAGCAATCTCGAAAGTTCAAGTAATTTTAACCTGAGCAGTTGTGTCACTTAAGAGTCTATGAAGCAGAACCGCTCTAAAATTCCCTATTGATCAATATATTAGATAACTAGGTGTCATAATCTGAAGAAACCTTTTATCTTCACCAACAACTAGAATACTTAAACAGTCCCTCAGAACTGTAAGTGCATACGTTTCTCAACTTTGCTCTTCTTACTGTGTTTCATATAACAACTTAAACGCCAGTATCCAATGATTATTTATTTCAGTTCATCACAACATATTCTCAAAAAAGTTTAGTTGTGGTACAACAAAGAATTAGAACAAAGAACTGTCAGTACCTCCCAAGACTTTGAATAATTTCAGAATACAAGATATACTTTTGAACTGCTGGGGCCTGTAGAAAAAGATCGACCAGCAGGGGAACAAGCTTTTCTGCAAACATATAATTGGGGATGCCTGCTATTACAGATGTCTTTAATCCAGAACTTGGAGAACGTTCTACTCTGCTTGAAGATATGGAAGATGTCCCATTAGGAATTTCACGTTTTATTCTCACGTGATCGTCTGCAAAAAGAAGTTTTTATTTTCTTCAGTTATTGTTGACAATCAAAGGTATGGGGGGAGACAAGCTGATTGTATACCTGGAACTTGGTCACTAGTGCTGGCTTCCTCTGCGCCATCTTCCTCCTTTTGTACAGAAGAATGTAATCTTGGCAGATATTGCAAAAAATCCCGAAGAAGAATAAGCCACATGGAAGAAATGAGCTCTGTTGGACGTAACATCGGAAGAATCTCCAGCACAGAACGTAATACAAGTGGAACATGTCCCTAGAGAAAAGTGATAGATTCCATGTCATGAAATCATACACAAATTTCTAGTGTGATGAGTTGCACTTTATACATTATGAAAGAGCAGCAGTGACTTCAAATAAACAGCTCAAAACACTGGGGAGAAAACGAGAGTAAGATAAGAAGAGCAAGTTGAAATTTCACTTACAAACTCAGTGTCACAATTATCGTTGCCAATTATGGCTTGTTTAACAGCTGAATCTATGACTGCAAGCAACTGCTGATACAAATTATCGTCAAACATCCTCTGGGCTTGCACATAAAGTTCCCCTGTTAGAAGTTCAAACAAGTTGAACGTCAATAGATGATTCACTTAATCAGAAGGAACGAGTCAGACAATACAAATGCTAAACATTAAAGCCATTAAGTACACCAAATGACAAGGAAAAAAACAATAAGATAGTCATTTTAATTTAAATCATTACCGAGACTGTGCAAAATCTCCTGCTTCACCTTGATAGCTGCATTGCCACTCAGGTTTGTTGACTTTTGGAGAACAACCTCGTAGGCATCAAGAACTGATTCAAGGTAAGGCCTTGGCAGGTTCCCCTGATTGACACCAATATATTATTTGATGATATCTTTTATTGTAGAAGGGAAGGACTGCAATATTAATTTGTAATTTTGTAATTCATTTTACAAGTTTAAATGACCTTGTCCGTCTAGTTATGTTCTGTAGTTTTAATCTTTCAGAAAAATAACAGCCAGCATAGGAAAGATAAAATGCGAGGACAAAATTCTAATTCACAAATGTATGAGCATTCTAGCTTTTTCAACTTTAATCACCTTAGAAGAATGAGAAAGAACGGGTGTCAGTAAACAATTTATTGCAGCAATAGCAACCTCTTTGCTACCATTTAAAATGCTGTTCTTGACAAATAAAAGCAAAGACTCCCATCCTGCCATAGGTAAAACATCAAGTGTGAATTTGTGAGACTGACACTCAATATTGGAAATAACAATGCCAGATACATCATAAATCCATTGTAACCTACCTGACCAAAAGTTGTTTAAGCTTCTAAGAAAAGGAAAGAATGAACGTAATATACGTGCTATGCCTCCAAGCACTAGTACAAGTGTTTCATCCCACTGTTTCTGAGCTGTGTTGCGACTGCAATTTCATTCAATACAAGAGTTGTATGATCGAATAACAGAACAGTTTAGGAGAAGAAGCACAACAGATTCTATCTATTCCTTATTGATAATTTATAGTTATCTTCTCTATCGCCAACTTTTTTTTTTTTTTTTTTTACAAAGTAAAGAAAAAGGAGCAGCAGAAAGGAGAACAATATTTAGTCACTAACTTACATACCTATGATGTATGAGCATATGAACGGCCTTTCCTCCCCGAGTTCCGAGTTCTTTCCCGTGCCATTCATCTTTTGATGAAGTCTCAGCCTAAAAACAAACAATTCAAATCATGACTTCGCAATAATACACAAAATCTCTTGATATGTCTTTGAAAACCACTTCAACAAACCATGTGAGAAGCACGATCTAGTGTAGGAAAAATGTAATTCCAAAGGCAATCCTCCCACATGCTTTTCGAAAGTTTTTGCCCATGACTTCCAAGTGTCTGAAAAAGTGTCCTGATCGCTGAATTTCTAACCTGGATACAAGTTCACATTCTTTGAGATTTGTATAAGCAGTGTACACATTAGTTATAATACCAGATCCAAATTGAGAAAATATTGGCATAGATTGAAGAGAACAGTGATTAAACAACACATGCTTTCCTACCTCTGGCCTTTCATCAGCTCCAAGCTTCTGAAGTAACGAGAAAGCAGAGAAAAGCAACCTGTCACGATCAACTACATTTAACAA